GCTGACATTTCTTTTTACCATTTTATTAAAAAAAAAAAAAAAAGATCTTTTAATGTCTTTACTGTTAATGCTTTACTGTCCCCATAGTTCCCAACACTTTCCTGTTTTCCATGCAGCCATTACCGGTAAGGCAGTGACAATTTCAGTATTCAGCCAGGTGCTGCCAAGCAAGACTTCATGCACCTAGCAGAACACTTTTCCTCATCCTATCTTTACAATCACCACCCCTCTTACCATTCTCTGAAACAACATTCACAGCCATTGTTGTTATATCTTGAACACAGGCAGCTTGAAATCCTTCACTAGGAGGAGCGTTGTAGGTGCTCAGTCCAGTAGCTTTATTGATGTATATTGTCTTACCCAATAAAGCATCAAAATCTTGCAGCCAGACAGAATCACACAAATCATTCCTGGGATCGCCTGTGCTTGTGTTGTCGGCAGAGAATTCCAAATTCCTTTGTAAGGTCACGTGGGGAGCCTCAGTATCTTTCATATTTTGTTCTGAGGATTCATCCAACATACTTTCACCTTTACAGATCATATTAGTACAGTCATTTTTAGCAGATAAAGATAAAACGCTGCCTGAAGAGACTGTATACTCTCCCTCTAWGCTGCTGAGTGGTGATGAGCTGACAGAACTCTTTATAGACTCTGCTATCACACCATCTGATTGTGAGCACACAGCCCCCTTAGAAATGCTGGACTTACATTCCTTCACTTTTTCCACTGAGGATTTGTATGTTTGACAAACATCATACAAAAAATCATTATTTGAGGATTCCAGATCAACAGAATGGTCATCTTTTCTATTTGAGTCTGTTTGGAATTGTTCACCAAGTTGTTCTACTTCTTTGTGATCAGTTTTCATTCTGGACAGTTTGGATGATAATGATCCTGGAGATCTTTTAAAACTTGTATTTTTGTTACTAACCAGAGAGTAATCAGACAATGTCAAAGGACTCTGACAAAGGGCTCGTTTGTCCTGTGACATTTCTCCACTGCAAAATAAATTCTTTTCCAAGGAAGCGAAACCTTGGCTAGTACTATTAGAAAATCTATCTTCTGCAGGTGGAGTTTCACAGCTGCTGAAGTTACCATGATTGTCATTCTCATTCTTTGAAAAGTCACCATTAGTTTCTGAATTAAGAAGTGGGAGACCAAATTCACTTTTTTCTGACTTGGGTGTTGGTAGCGTAGACTTGATTCTCCCGTAATATCTCCTGAACTTTTCTAATGATCCCAGCTGTGAGGACAAGCTCAGTTTCTTTGAGGGCTGAGGTCTTGGCACAGCTATCTGTCTTCTAGCGCTTTTGATAACAATTTTCTTGTGAGGAATACCTGAAGAAGTTGCCAGTGGCAATTCTGTATCATTTGATATTTCGTAAGGTCTTTTATTGGTAGCAGCAGGCATAGCTATCTCCCCCCTCACCTGATGTGACAAAGGTTTGCTCTCATTAACATCAGTCATGCACACTTCTCTGGTAAAAGAAGCTGTGTATTTTTTATTTGTATTACTGGAAATACCCTTAGCATTTGAAGACTGAATCACAGAATTCACTTTGTGGCCAGAAGTATCCTTGGCACTGACAGGGCCAGGCCTACATTGTGTGTTTAATGCAAGATTTGTTTCTGCTTCTTCACAGTTACATTGAGGCTCACTTTGGATAACACGTTTTATGAGGTCTGTAAGGCGTAACTTTAATGGTATTGAACCAACAGCCCCTCTTCTGGCACCATCTATCACTTCAGCCATTTCCCTGTTTCTTCTTGTATTACACAGTCTTATCAATGAAGTTCCAGAGACAGTTTCATGTCCCACTTCTGTTTCAGTAGGGTCATCTCTCTCAGCCAGTGACTCAGTAACATCCTTATTTAAGTTATGAACCTTATTGCTTTCCTGTATTGCTTGGCCTTGCTGGCTGCCCACATCTTTTCTATTATTCTCTGCACAACCCCTCAGGTCATCACATCCATCTATTTCTCTTATTTCTGATCTGGTTCCTCCCCTGAAAGAGGAAGGAAAACTTTCTGAAAGTTTCAGATGAGTATCAGACACTTTTTGGGAACTGCTAGTGTATTTTGGCTCCTGTTGAGAGGTATTTGATTTCATTAAATCAGAAACTGTGTCATCTTTGCTTGGCAATGGAATCTCTGCTTTATTGCTTCTACATGGACCAGACAACTCAGCAGTGTTCTGAATTGGGGCAACTTCAGTTTCCTGGACATTTTTACTTGATTCTATAAGACTTGAATTTTTTTTTCCAGTAATCAATTTCCTCTTGACATCTTTTGATTGCAAGGTACACATTTCATAAGAATCCACAATTTCATTACATGCTTTCTTAAAACTTTCTTGGATGCTCTTCTCATCAAGAATTGAAGGCTTCAGAACTGGAGCGTTATGCAAACAAAAGTCATTATTTTCATTATATTCTCTGATGTCTTCACCAGATGGTTCAATAAATAAATGCTCTCGTTTCAAAAATATTTTCACTCCTTCCTCTATGCAAGTTAGAAGAACATCCCAGTTTTGGAACTCAATTAATGTCTTCGAAGGTTCCAGGCACACATCATAGTCACTGTATGCACAGGTCACATTGAGAATAAAGATCCCATACAACTCTGGCCCACAGCGATGGTGACCAGGACTTGAACTAGCCTGTCGGCTTGCAGGGACACTTTTTGCCTTGCAAATTACACTTTCTTTTCTTAATAAAAAATCAATTAATTTATGTAGTCTTGTCTTCAAAACAAGCCTTCTATTCACATACAAGAATTGTATATTTTTATTGTAATGTCCCTCTGTACTGATAAAACCACTTATCTCAAATCCCCCAGACTTGTGATTTATTTCTCGCAATTTCTGGGATCTGCCCAGTCCATAAATTTGACAAAACCGAGAGTACACATCTCTTGTCTTAGGGAGCTGAAGCACCATAGAACAAGAAACATCATTCCTTAAAGAAAGGGAAACAGAAGGATGCATTAGCGAAATAGCCTCTACCTTCTGTCTCACTCTCTCTATTTCCAACACGGGATCCATACACTTTCTCCTCACCGGTAACTGATGGAACAGATTGCACACAGTGACTGTAGTTCCGCCACTTGGTCTGTTCAATTCAGCTTCACATACTTCCAGTGCTTGCCCATTGTAAAACAGTTTCACAAACGTTTTTGCTGTCCTGCTGGTCTTAGATGAGATTTCCACTACACTGGCCATGTTGGCTATACTTGCTACAGCCTCCCCTCTGAAGCCATAGGAAGTCAAGTTTTGCAAGTCTCTCACTGAGCTGCACTTGCTGGTGAAGTACCGCTTTCCGACAGCCTTTAAGTCCTCTTTCCCCATACCGGAGCCATTGTCCACCACCTGGATCTTAAAAGCTTCCAAATCCACCCTGATAGCTACACATGTTGCTTTGGCATCGATGCTATTGAGGACAAGCTCCTCAACACATTGTCCGAGGGAGTTGACAGTGACTCCAGAACGCAGCCTGGCTCGCACATCTTCCACCAAATGTTTGATCATGTCAAAATTTGATAGATGAGRAACACAAGAAACTGCAGGGAGCTCACTGCTCCATGTTCCTTAAAACACTGAGAGAAAAGRAAAAATCTTACATTAAAGAAATACAAATTAAAGACCTGAAAAGACTTTCATTTATTTAGTTCACCCTCATAAATACACTTTTATTACATTTCCTGGCATTCAAAGGCTTTTTCTGTGAAKACTTTCATGCTCAGGCTTTAACTACACACTATCAGTGCCTTCAGGGTAGATGGCCAGAGCCTGAATCTAAGCTACTCACTAACAACATACATGGTTCTCAAACTGAACATACCCAAAACCAAACTCCTACCGTACGAGGCAAAACTCAAAGGATGTGCAAGTGTAAGATTTCTACTGTAACTTTCATTATAATTATAGARTAAATATCACCAAGAACTGGGCAAAAAGCTGCTTTTCTCCTGTTTTTACGTCTACGTCCCCACAGAAATTCACAATGCTTCGTCCTGATCAAATAGCATCTGCTACTACTTATCCAGGAAAGGGGTAAAGCAGACTTGGGAATGGGTGTCAGGCAAAGAGAAAGCTGTTTATGCGAAAGAAAAGCCGCTGTTTTCCAGCCCTTGGTGCCTACTGGTTTCCTAGTGGTATTCAAGGGGGCTGCTTGCCCTCCTTGAGGATCCGGTGCCGCCGCTGCGACAAGTCTCCCGAGGCTCCCTGGCCCCGGGGACTGAGGCGAACAGCACGGACCCGTGGCTCAGCTCGCCACCACACGCTGTTCGTGCCCTCCCCTCACGGCTGAAGCGCCCTCTGCCTCCTCTTGCCGGCCGCCCCGGGCCCCGTTCCCGCGTCCTGCCCTCGCCCCCTCAGCACCTGCCGGACCGGGCCGGCCCCGCAACGGCCGCCGCGCGAGACCAACCCTGCTGGGCCGCCGGGCTCCTCGCGGCCGGCACCGGCGCGTACGCAGCCGCGAGCGGGCGGCGCCGGGCAAGAGCACGCCGGGAGTTGTAGTTTCCGCACCGACTGGGCCCAAAGCGGCCGGGRAGGGTGGGAGCTCGGCCCGGCTGCGGGAAACACGCCTTCTGCCTGGCCATTCCCGCACAGCGGCGCCGGGGTCGGGGGCCAGCTTTGGCATCGCGCTCCAAGAGCCGTCATCCACTCAGCCCCCAYAGACATGCCCATTGCACACAGCAGGTGAAAGCCAAGCAACTTTATTCTACAGAAAATGTTACATTCTGGAATAAGTTGTTTCTGAGGCATTTAGTGAACAGAAATGTTTTCAGTGATGTTTTCCATCGGCCTTGACCTGTGATTTCCTTCACATAAGCACCATGCTATAAATTTCAGATTTTTCTCATGTACAACTCCCCAAACCACATACACTTGGAAAGGTATTCTCTGCCCCTGAACAGCCCCTTCAACAGAGAGAGCACAGCTCTTCTTCTACCTGCTGGAATTCTGTGAAAAGCTGACCATCAAACTAACAGAGCAGCAAAACAATAAATTAGAAATTTAATAAAATAAAGCTCTCCAGAGCTGAACATTGGCTGACCAAATGAGTGGGAAAGAGGGGAAACATTCTATGAAAGCAGCTCATGCTCCAGACTTCGCTTCTTCCTCAACAAAGTCATTTCACAATCTGGAATTCCTTGTGCTCCAGCGCCTTGATCTTCTTCTCATTGCTGAACTCTGCTCGGCTGATGCGGGACTGGGGACTTCCTATCTTCCTGAGCCATTCTTGCAGCTCCTGCACCCTGGCAGCTGGACCCTGGATTTGGCCTTGGACAGTGCCATGGCTGGTATTCTGGACCCAGCCAACCAGTCCCAGTCTCTTAGCCTCCCCCTGACAAGACAATGCAGAGCAAAATGAGGTYAATCCAAACTGCAAGAGAGCAAGAGCACAACATTTGCATACTTTTTTCTTGCCATTTTTGTTGGCAAGACACAGACCTCTAAGGAAGTTCCTGCAATTCAGGCAGCAGGAAAGCAGCAAAGGATTCACTCGGCTACTTAATATATTCTTTCAAGCGAACAACTGGGGCTGAAACGCACTCTTCAGTCATGCTTACATAACCCGACCGGGCTGCCAGCACCGCCGCGATGCCAGCCCCTTTCAGCAGCGGTTGGAGCCCAGGCCTCGGCCGCGACCCCGCTCGACCGCGGCCCGGCCTYTCCCAGGGGCTGACAGCGGACAAAGGGCAGGCAGGGCAACCCACCCCGCGGGTCCGTGGCACGCACCTGAGTGTACTTGCGGAAGAACACGCCCTGAACTTTGCCGGACACCTCGTAGTCCACGGACACTAAGTCTTCGCCGTCCTCCATGGCGGCAGCAGCWCCACCGCCGCCTCCAGCGTCACCGRCCTGCCCCCGCGGCCGCCGCGCGCCCCGCCGCGCCTGCGCTGCGCCGTGCCCCTGCGGCCAATGAGGAGCCGGAGCGGCGCCGGGCCTGCCCCTCACTCGCCGCCTCATGAATAATGTGCGTAGGGCGGCCTCACGGATCATGCACGTTCGGCAGCCTCACGGCGGATGTGCCTCGGACGGCCTCATGAAAAATGTTTGAAGAGCGCCCACCGCCGCCGCACTCGTTCCGTAGCGGAACTGTCCAGTGGAGCGATGCCGGGGCGCGCGCTGGAGCGGAGCCGGTCTCCCGGCAACAGCCGCCAACAGCGCGCGTGGGCACAGCTCCACGCCCGGCACAGCTCCACGCCCGGCACAGCTCCACGCCCGGCACAGCTCCACGCCCGGCACAGCTCCGCCCCGGGCACAGCCCCGCACCGGGCACAGCCCCGCATCGGGCCCCGGGAGCCGCGGGCAGCAACAGCGGCGGGAGGGGTCGGGTCTCTTGGGCCCATAAGAGCAGCGGGTGGCGACGCAGCTTGCCGAGGAGGGAAGCCGGCGGAGCGCTGGGCGCAGCCCCGCAGGTAACCCCGCTCRCCCCGCGATGTGAGCACCCGACACAGATCGGGGGATGTGGTAGAACGAGCCACGGGAAGATTGTGCCGAGCTTGGTCGGACTCCTGCATGTCAGATCTGTGTGACACACTGGTGGATCACAATGCCTGAACTGAAGGGACATGTTACGGGAAACCACCTGGGGAGTAKAACAATTCCTCCGTCATTGCAGTATATTTCTGCTGCTATCATGATAAAGCAGGGCTCAGACAGAAGGAGAAATRAAAGTGTATCTTATTTCTGGCTGCATAAACGGTTGGAACTAGAAGAGGCAGAATGGGAGCTCCCTAGATGRAAGGAATGTAAAGATTTATAGAAAGCAGAAAAGTTACAAAACCTTTACTAATACTATAACCTCTGTCTGCAGCCTCCATGCATAAACTGCTAGGAGAAGATTTGYCCAGTTTTGGATAAGATTATGTGTAATGGCTTTGCTTCTAACCTCAGGCTCTTTCTCAGGCACTGAATGGCTTTTTTTCCATCGGTGGCTCCAGTGGTGGCAGCTACTAAGCCTGCTCCTGGTTCCCAGCTGAAACACCAGAACAACTTTCAGCATGGACTCATACTTGACAAAGAGGAAAGTTTAAAAGATCTCTATGTCCGAAGATATTCGTATTCTATATCTGCAGAAAGCACTCAGTATAGGCCCAGTCATGGAGGCTTCTGTTCAGGTGGACTGGAGAGCAAGTATCTCATCAGCCAGACCTGTACTTTATCAGCTAAATCATTAGGCAGACGGAAAGGAGTGGACCGTGCATATCCCCTGCAACCAATTTATCACCACAAGAGTGCAAGTGCTCCACTGCTCAACACCGGAAGTTCCCCATATGTGCAGGAAGCTCCAAATAGTAGATCAAGCTCAACAAGCAAAGGTATAGCTCCTGCAGGGAGTTCTCAGTTAGCTGCAGTGCTCTGCCCTTGGACAGGAGAGCCTGAACTATCAGGCCCTCATCTATACAGCAGAGAGCTGGCATACAGCCTTAAGTTGGAGGCAGACATAAAGAACCTAGAAGAAGCAATTCAAAAGAAAGAGGCCCTTCTTAGAGAGAAGTTGAAGAGGACAATGGAGACACTTAGGAGGATTCAAAGTGAGAAGGAGCTTATCAGGGTAGAGGAGAGAACAGACAGTGAAGTGGAGAGGACCCATGACCAAAAGGTCACAAGGCACCCTGAAGAAAAAAATATCAGAGCTGCACACAGGCCAGGAGTGGCAATCTTCACCACAGTCGCAAGTGGGGCACAGTCTACACGGGACACTGTCCCCAAGCCTGGCACCACACTCCACTCCCAACAGCTGGCTGTGAGCAAACTGAAGGATAGGCTGGTGGCTGTAAAACACAACAAAACAAACAACAGCAAAATACAAGACAACGTACCCATGGAGCATTTAGCTTCTTGTTCAAAACTGGCCCCAAAACATAGCCTTTCTGCCCTCTCAGACCACAATTCTGATGGCCACCCATCTGCAGAGATGGTATACAAGCAGACTGCCAGTGCTGTGGAGCAGGAAGAGTTTGGACAGTGCAGCTTCTGCAAACGTAAGTTTTTCTGCACGAGGCTTGAGAAACACATGAGTATCTGTAGCAAGAACCAAGACTCCAAGAGGAAAGTGTTTGACTCCGGCAAGGCCAGAGCTAGGGGAACAGAACTGGAACAGTATCGGCAGGGGAAGAGCTCAAGGAGTGCTCAGGTAATGTGTAGTCCCKTTGCCTCCCTGGATCCATGTCTACTGCTCACACTCCCTCCATTTCAACCTCCGACTGAGATGCAAGTGCCTTCCCGTGTATGTGGGGCTGAGGGATACAATCCAGCTATTGCCTCTTAAAGGCTGTTGCCAAATGGATAAACAGATCCATTTACAATCCCATAGATAGAGGCAGGAGTCCTGACCAGGCTTTATAAAGGTGTACTATTGGAGAAAGCTCACTCCTTGCTGTGTATGTCCCTGTTAGGATGCAGACTGGTTCTGCTGCAGTAAAGCCCTGTGACATCAGGGACTGCAGGGAGCTGATGGAAAATCCAGATAATAACACGGTTTGTTAAAATGAAAGCAGTGGAACCATGCAGCTCTGTTCCTGCAAAGAAAATATAGCAAACCTCCCTAGTTCCTTGGTATTACTGCTTGCTTTTCTGGTTATCCTTAAGCTCTTTCTAAATACTTATGTTTCCCTCAGTTTTTCCTTTACATCCTCCTTCGTGCTGGTCTTTTTAATCCCCTTTGTGGGACTCAGCTTCTCAGGCTGAGTTTTATGTCAACAGGGAATGCACAGGGACGGGTGGCATGCGTTGGGCTCCGACTGTAGGTTTGAGAATGGAGGCTATGGTGGTCTCAGTTGCTCTGACTGCCTTTCCCTTCTGCAGAGTAAAACACCACCCAAAAAGAATAGCTGGAAACAGAAGCATGAAGCTCTCATCCACACCGTGTCRCAGGCCCGCCAGGTGCAGCAAGTCCTCGCTAAAGGGGGGAAGGAGGCTGACCTGCCCCCATTGCCTCCCATCGAAAACCCAGACTATGTTGCCTGCACCTACTGCGGACGAAAGTTTTCTCCCCGAGCAGCTGAGAGACATATTCCCAAATGCAAAAACATAAAGAATAGGCCCCCACCCCCACCACAGAGGAGGCACTGCTGAAGCAGTGCCCAACTGTACCTGCTGCTTTAATTCCCTGCCTGTTTTTTTTTTTTTTTTTGCCAGGTTTACAGCTATAGACATTTGTGCTTTCTTTAGTCTCAACACTGGCTGCAAGTTTGTATGTACAGTGAGTGAACAGATCAGGATGTGTAAMTAGAGTAACAGAACTTGTATACGACCCGCACCCTGGGTTTCCCAAGAGATGCCCCTTTCCTCAGCACAAGAAGCTCAAGATCAGAAATTCCAGGGGTTAGAAAAATTAGCAGTAGCAGGCACTTACTGTTGAATTCATACGTCAATTCCTGTGCATAGAACAACAGGGATACTCTGAACCAGACAGGCCCTTTAGGCAACAGAACAACCATTACAATCAGATTTAATGTTTTTAAAAATGGAGTTTTCCTGCAGGCCAAGTTGCTAGGGACCTCTAAAAATCAAAGCTTTCACCCTTCCTTAAGATATTTGCTTATATTCATCTTGGTTGCTGCAATGGTAGGGAATTATGACAAAAATATATCCCTTCTGTTTTCTTCTCGAGATGTTATTTTTCTAGATTCTGATTATCAAATATATTAAACTAGTTCTCTTGTGTAAAAGTTATTTTAAATAGTCACAGAGTGATCTGTGTTCTCACAATAAGAATGACTACTTTGTATAAGRAAGTTGCTACAATAAGTGAACAAGGAACAAAAAAAAATTCCAGCAGTTCCTTTCACAAGTCCTCCAGTAGCATAGCGGCAGCTCACGGGAACCTAGGGAAAGATCTAAAGCAACTAGATTAAGCTGGAATGATCAGAAGGTGAATATGAATAAATACTCCAGCCTTCAGTGTGTGAACTTGACTCCTGAAAGAGGCTGGAGAGCTTCTGTCCTATAGGTATGTGTGCAGAAATCTGAATCCTTTGGCACACCCTGGAAAAGCAGGAATGTCTCAAAAAGGGTCATTGCTGCACTGTGCCAGCCAACGATGAGTGTACAAACCTAAGAGAAAAAGCAGACTCAAAGCAAGGGGAAATAATTTGCTGTATCCAAACTGATCAGAGAAGCAAGACCAATGCTTTATCTTCAGAGTTTTGAAAAGCAAGATAGCAAGAGGAGACGAGGTAGGAAAGGGGAAAACAGAAACCTTTATGCCATCATTGAATTCATGAAAGGTATAACTGAATTCAACATAGTAGTTAAAAAATTCAGCACCACTGCCTGTCTTGTAATATTAACTCTGTTTCCCTTGCACTACGTGTAGTTGACTGTATTTAGTAGACCCTGAAGGTCAGCAGAGTGTAAATGGTGACATGTGGATACACAGAGAAAAGCATTTGATGTAATAAAATAAACCCATGTGTTGGGGATTCCTTGTAAGTGACAGGCAAATGTCAAATGYGGAGATGGAAAAGATTGAAACTGTCGATTAAACGAAAGTTATTAAATTACCATGCTTCATTTGTTAACTGTTTTGGAGTTAACCGTGGGCAGTTCATCCTTTTGCTATTGTTTCAGGATGCAGAAAGTCCCTGATAACTGGCTTAAAACTCAGTAACATGTTAGACAAAATATCAGGCTCAGTACAGACATTCAGGGTGATGCTTTGCTCTCATGGTTAGTTACCCTGACGTTACTCAAGCTGTGTTATTCATGCCTGCTCAGCTTTCTCTTTTGCTCCTGCAGTACAATCTTCTTCTCAGAGATAYGCTCCATTTTCAGCATCCAAATCTCTAATGAAATTTAAGTCTTTAACACTGCTCTGCCTTTAAAGATATTTCACAATTTAATAAAACCTCTGAAAAAAAGTGATAGGCTTTAAGTACAGTGTGCAGGAACAGCTGGCTGAGCAGGTGTCAGGCAGGTTTTCCCTTCTGTAGGCCTTAATGACCAGAAGGTCTTCTGAGAGAAACAGGTACTTCTTCCCTTTAAGGCTCTCTTCCCGTTACTCATTTCCCCACTTGGCACTCAAGCTGCGGAAATAAACACACGCACACATGCACAAAAGCTCCTGACATCACTAGGAGATGTAGCAGTATCAGAAAAGAATAGGTTTGTTGTTTGGTTGTTTTTTTTTTWATGAAGGGACACAGAAACTGACTTTTTTTTTTACCATAGAAAAGAACTCACAAGCCCTTTCCCCTCTTTCTATAAGAAAAATAAAATAATCAAAACCAGAATGCCATTAAACTAGCTGACTGTATAGCTATTTCCCTTTCCTCTCTTGGAAAAAAAAAAAAAAAAAAAAACAGCAAGAAAAAGACTCCAAATGCAGGAGCATGAGTTTAAACGTTTATTTAAACAGAAATTCCAAACCACTCCACCCTTTAACCTTTCAAAAAACRACAATGACAAACTAGTTTTCAGCCAGAGTGTCAGAGCAGGCATAAATTGTGCTCCACTTCAACAACTCGGTAGCAATACTAGCAGGAGACCAACACATATGGAGCTAGCACTGCAAGAAGGGGAGAAGTAAAAAGGGTTTGAAACTGCTCCAAAAGGCACTTCTGCCCACCTGCCTTTCCGTTTTCAGCCCAAGACGAAGGTGCTGCCTTTAAACTGCTTTTTTTGTTGCATAGCTGGTTGGTGTGAAATCCGTGGTCTGTAACAGGCACAACCTGGATAGCGTGAATCCTCTAAGGCACATATGAGATTGTGGAGCACAAGGCATCCTCTGTCGGGWACCCTGATCCTCCACTAGATCCAAGGGGAATCCAGTCTGTGCACCTAGCTTCCCAACTGCAGAGCATTGAGAAATGAGGATAGCAGTGCACTGCAGGAGAGCGACTCTCATCAACTTGGTGCTTGCTTATTCAACATGGCTCAGGCTCAACTTTCCACTCCTCAAAGGCACTGCTGCGATGTGACCAACGACCCTCAAGCTGGGACTCTGACCTGAGACTGGCTCCAACGCACRCGGGGAAAGGGGAGCAGAGACACAAGGGCAAACCAGCATGGCTGTACCAGGGCACCTGACACTCACCACACCCCAGGAGGGCTCTCCTCTTGCCCTGCTTTTGGTAGCAATGGAGAGGCACGCTGGAACAATCCTTGCCCTGGACACTGCATCGGGGAGACGGCACTTGATTCAGCTCCTAGATATTAGCAATAGGCACCAAAATAGTATTTAAGGAGCATTATGTTACAAGTAAATGGTTTGGCATCCACCTCTAGAGATAAATGGGGAATGCTGGATTTCCCGGAACAGTCTCCCAAAAGAAGTCTGTCGGAGGTGATACAATATCCACCTCCAGYAGACCTAAGGCAATTCTAGTAACATGCCATTGATGGGGATCATTTAAGACTGATGAAATCACAATCCCGCCCTCACTGCAAAGGTGAGAGGAACTCAGGACTCCTTAGAGGCATTACRTACAGCAGGGAAGGCTAGCTGCTCCCAGGGATCCCACCAATCCCATAAACTTTTCTTCAAACTCAGTTTGCTAATCAATTTAAGGGGAATAAAATTAACCTCATTCTCTAACAGAAAATGAGGAAATCTTGAGCATCAGACCATGCCTCTTCCTGTCTCCAATTTTCTTGGGAAAGCCTCTCACTTCTTGAAAGAAGGTGAATTCCRGACTGAGATTTGATCATTCATGGTCTTTGGGGAAGGCTACATCCTGTGACCACAGCAGTAATGACCTATTCTGGGTAGGAAATGGCATTCCAGCTTCATCAAAACACTGAGTGGAAAAACACGGATTCTTCCCACACCCACACAGAATGTAGGCACAGGGACTGAGCAGAAGAGAAGCCAAGCAGGGAGCAGCTACATGCTTTTGCCAAGAAACCAGAAACTCTGGCACCCAAACTAAGTTGAACAGCTGGAGCAAGAAATGGGTAACTTAGTCTGAGGCCCGGATGCTTGGCATCTGGTTGGGAAGCAGGTGGTCTGAAACTGAGAACTGCAGAGCCAGTCTCAGACAGTCCCCACTACTGCAATGGGAAACACCTGATTCACTCATCTCGGTACACTGCCTGGAAGTTGGAAAGCCCTCGGCACCCAGAATAAAGCCTTCAAACTCCATCTATACAGACCAGTGGACACAGCCATATGGCCAGAAGCTATGCCTCRTGGCCCAGGACACGCTGTCTACCATTATCTCCCTAAGAGGAACGTCTCCATTGCCTTCAGAATGATACATTTGCTGGTCCCTCTGCCCCTGAGCAGAGGGAAGCAGCCACACCGGCGGAGCCTTACCATGTGGTAAGGAGAGGATCCTAGTCCTTCAGCCCTCTGAAGTGAAGGTGGCGAGTCTTAGGGTTCAGCCAGCTTCAGTACAAAACATGTTTCCTCCTCTCATCTAGAGATGCAGTGATGAATACTGGGGTCCCAAAGGCAGCTCCCAGGAAACAGTGAAACAATGAAAGGGCCACAAGCTGCTACTGGAGCCATCGCCATAATGGGGCCGTTCTGCCTCACGTGCAGAATTGGTAGATAAGGTACAAAGAGGAGCTGCTGCCGCTTCCATCACTGAGCTGGCCTAGAGCTCAAGGGCCCTCCCCCTCTCAAACTCACTCCTAGTTCATATCAAACGTACATGGGTGCTGCTCTGGAGCCTCTGGCCTCGCTCCTTGTCTGCGAGTGACCTGAAGCCAGAAAAGCCGCTCTCCGCATTCGGTTAGTGTGCTGTGAAGTTAGATGGATCCCAGTGGGCTCAGGAGACTAGAGGTTGGAGCGGCACGAGTCCGTTCCCAGGAGACACCAGGAATCTGAATCCAGATCAGGTTTTGGATCCACTTCCATCTCCTCTTTGGTTGTCTGTGTTCCTTTGGAATGAACCTTCACCTGTCAAAACACACAGCAGTTACTCAAATAGCTCCAGGACTAGCTGCAAAAAAGCTAGAAGCTGCACAAAGCCCAGTTTGTATTCTCCACAGCCATTTGTGACTCTTCACATCTGACTGCTCATCCCTTCTCATCAGGAGAAATAAATGCAAATCCCAGGTCCCTCAAAGAGTGGGCTGTCCTCACAGAAAACGCTTCTTGGTTTCATTCCTGTTTTGCTACTATCAGAGCCTGCATCAGTAGCTTATACAAGAAAACAGGCACTATTCTTAGTCCCACCACATTCTGCTCTGATACAGACAGCTGATAAGAGGTGCTTCCTTCTGCACAGCCTCCACAATCTGCAGGTGAGCCCTGCGCATGGCTGTGCACCCAGGTGATGGATTCTCACCTGCTGCATTCCCTCCATCCTCCTGCAGAACCGCTGGAGTTGGGCACTCAGACGAATGGTTTCCTGCTGCAGTTTCTTCTGATCATCCAGACACTGTAAAACCAGGCCTCGGAGCTGTGTCACCTCCACTTGCAGAGCACTGCACATGCAGCCCGCCCCAGAAGACGCATCCTTCCCTTCACCACATGGCAAGGCTGGACTCAGGCAAGTAGGCTGCAAAGACATGGGAGTTAGGCCAAGTTTCAGTGCAAGGCCAAAAGCTGTATATTACACCAGGAAAAAAAACATGCCCAGAGTGTYATCCAGCTTGTTTCCCAACTTCCAAACTTCTAGCAGCCAGGGTCAACAAGCTAATTCTTATTCTGTCTTCAGTACAAAGCCATTAGCTTCCTCCTTTTCCTAGGAAGGTTGTTCCTGTCCTCCTATCACCAAAATCCATCTGGTTTACCCCCATTTCCCTAAGCACACGATCTGTGCCTCCTCTCGGGACAGAAAACTCCTGGAATTAGGCAGTCTTGTAGGTTGTAATTTCTCGATTTTCTATATATTCTTCCTATATCACAGCAAATTGTGCCTTCTAAATTTCTATTTTCTGCTAGGCTTCTCTTTTTTTCCCCAATTGCATTAACCACATTTTCCCACAGAACTGGTATCTGACCAAGATTCTCCTTTGTGTTCTAGATACTTGGGAATTTTTTTCTTAGCAGCATCATCTCTGATTATCACCATCCCTCTTKTCTTCATCCAGATAAATTAGGCCAGTCCAACAGTATCTTCTCAGCTCTCCCCATAATTCAAACATTGCCATTTATGGTCCCCAAGAGCTTTTAGCCAAGGATTCACTTGGATAACATTACCCAGGGCTCCGTTTTGGGCTTAGTTAATTCAACAGGTTCCTCAGAGGCCACTTTGAGTCCTTGAAGCTTCTGGTAAGGGAGAGTCTCCTTCTCAGGCTCTGAAGATGCCATGCTCAGAGGAAAGGGGCTGTCAGGCATGGGGATGAATTCAGCATTCTCCAGCTCCTGCATACACAAAAGTGTTACTGTCAGGCCTGCCAACTTCCTGCAGCTCATTTCATCTTCTCAATCGATGCACCAACACCCTCTTGTGGTTAAACGGGCAGCAAGGCCTTAGGGGCTTTTTGCAACATGGCTCTAAGAACCTATCAGATCATCCCTCCAAGGTGGAAGGGGCCATCCAGTTTTCCCAGCCGAGATCCCCATTTTAAGGCATTTCTGAGAAACCACATTACCTTCCTCAGCCAGCCAGGGCAGGAGCTGCTGTCGGCACTGTTGCCTCCCTTAGCTTCTGTAGTGCTGATCCAGCCCCCCAACTCACGATCTGCCTCCATGGTTCCCCGAAAGCCTCCACTGGGATTGGGGGTTTCTGCTTCCTG